GAGAGAAAGAAAGAATGAAGGAGCAGGGGAAGAGAGAGGGAAGAGGAGAGAGAGAAGTGTGAAAAGGAAGGAGGAAGGAAAAAACCATTTGTCAAAATCACATTTGTGGAAATGTAAGAGCTTGGCAATATTATTTTGCTGAATACGGATGCACTTTGGTTTGCTCCTTTGGAGATATACAACGCACAATTCTTTATGAATGGAGGTAGTCACGGCTTTCAAAATTACAGTGGTATACATTCTTTTCCTAGACATTTGTCCCGTGGGTATGCATGGGTGAATGGAAAATGTGATCTTTTTAAGTCTACTCATAAAAGGATTATCATAAATATTTAAAAAATAGTTTAAACTCATTGTGGTACATCAGTATAACAGGATAGGATGAGACAATAATAAATAATTATAAATAATAAAAGGTAAGGTCGCCAAAGTATATAGCTTGAAAAGTCAAACAGAAAGAAGCGGTAAGAAAATAGAAATGCTAATTGCCTTCATTTAATCAATACACACTGAACACACTTACTGTAATATCACAATGTATGCCATAAATATGTACAATTATTAAGCAATAAATAGAAGCAAATCCATATATATACATATATATATATATATAATACAATGACAATTTTGAGGTAAAGATAGCATATATAATGGGCTAAATTCAGTGTGACAGTAAAGCAGAGGAGCAAAGTAACCAACAGTTCTGCTTGCTTGCATTTGCCCAGGCTGTCAGAGCAAACACTTAAGAAGGCAGCAGCCAATGACTGTCGGAAGGACAGGTGAGCACGGAGGGACCCAGACTTTCTGTCCCACGTGTTTACACTTGGGTGAAATGTGACACAGCCACTAACTCACAAGATTAATTCTGAAAATCATTCATCTAACATTTTTGACTCTCAAAGTGGTTCCTTCGTAAAGAAGTGATGTCCCTGTCCTCTTTAGGGAGTGGGTGTGGTGGCACATGCAAGACAAGGGGACTCAGAACCCTCGGACTGCCTGAGCAACATAGCAAGACCTTGGCTCAAAAGGCAAATAACCAAACAAATAAAGTACCAAAAAAAAAATGGTATCTTCCGGCATGCTTCAAAATCTCACATTTCATTCTCCTCATAAATATACCCCCACCTTAGCCTTGCCCTCAATTCTGTCTGCAAAACTACTTATCTACTCTTTAGGGGATGATCCAAATCCTGAGTTTGTCTTTGTGTGTGTGTGTGTGTGTGTGTGTGTGTGTGTGTTTATATGTCAACACAATCTCATGTGCTGCAGCCAGCGCAGTCCGGATGGCTGAGAGTGGCAGGGGATGCCGGGATTGAGATATGGAGGCTTCTTTTCAGGTGGAAGAACTGCAACCTTTATTTTGCCCAGCAACCTTTTATACCTCTACTTCTTCTGTGGAGCTCCACCAGCCAGAAAGAACACAAACATCCTTGTCAATTACAGACCACAAGGAAGTTCCCCCGTCAGTCAGGGGGAGTGAGGGCAGCTGGATCACAACACTCATGAAGATTTCCTCCACCTCTAGTGTGCATCTACTGACTCACTAGGCACACCCCTGCATCCACACTCAGTCTATCCACATCTACTGACTTGCTAGGAATGCCCCTGCATCCACACTCAGTCCTATTCCCTCAGATCCTCTCCATGTTGGAAAACACTGAGTCCCAAGTACTAATAATCCTCTGATTTAATGCTGAATTAAGTGACATCTATCTCCAAATAGGCCAAAGGCTCTGCCCAAATTTGGAATAACATTGATGAATTAGTCAAAACTGAGGATTTTTGGCTCAAATTCAAGATGAGAAGAATAAACAAACCCTGCCCAAATGGAATCTAGTTCTGATGTATTTTTCTGCCTTTTTAATTAAAACCAAATGTTTGAATATTTCCCAAATTACCTCGGATAAAAACCACTGTGTTATTTTGCCTTGCAAAATACAAATGAACTAATGTTACTAACTACTAACTCATAAACTGTTTTCAGTTTATGTAGCTTGGGACTTCTGAATCTCAATCATGAAGCCCACTTATCTGAGCTCCTGGAGGAACTGACACACTCATCTCCCCCCAGTCAATGACAGCAATGTGGCAGCTGACAGAGCTCAGAAGTCCATCTCACGCAACTGTTCTCTCTCTGGCAAGAATACAAAAAGAACCAGAGAACAGGATGGTGGGCGATCAGGGGGAAGTTAACCTTGACAACGGAATGTGAACGCTTCCCAGCACTCTGATGTCAATGCAATACTGACCAGAACGATGCCAGCGCTTCTGTGTCCACTGCAAGTCTCCCTCCATTTAAAGGCTAGTTCTGCCCATTCTACATCAGGAAATGAAAGTGGTAACAAAGTCTCCAGATCTTCCAGGGAAGAGGAAACAAGTCTGTGTGGGGCTTGAACTGGGTTGATTTTCCACAATCTGAGAAAATCTCTGTGGTTATTGATCTTGATAAGCCTACTAACAATTGGCATCAAAGTTCAGCTGAGTTTTGCATCTTATGAGGCTATCAAATGCCTCAAGAATGGTGTCTGTGAACACTGGGAATTCCAGAAAATGGGAGCCAAAGAGGTTAATGTATTTTGACAAGAGGATGATTAAGATAAGGCAAAATTACTTAATCTCTAATTAGCCTAGTCCATTACTGAACCCTTACCAACAGTCACTGAGGCGAATTCAGAGGAGAATGTCTGAAGACCATGGTGCTTCAGGAGACAGTTGCTGATTTGCCAGCCACTAGAGGTGCTCACATCATCTTCAGATCTAAACCACAGCCTGATTTTTTGTTGTTGTTTTTTAAATCTTTGTTAAAGAAACTGTGAGGTTTAAGATTATCAAGTATCTTTTAATATCAACTTTACATGATACAGATATTTCAAAGACTTAATGAGAAGTCTGGTTTGTTTTAATCACCCCAATTGTGCTTATATCCAAAGGCCTTTTAATAAAGACAAAAGCACACGTTGGCGCTTGTGTGCTCTTGTTCGGAAAAACTGTCGTGTACAGCAAATGGATGGGTGTAAGGAGCATAATGTCAAGCAGAGTAAGACAGACAGAAAGACAAATATGAATTTTTTTTTTACACAAAATCTATATTTAGAAGTGACAGGGTGATAGAGGGGCACGAGCAAGAAAGTGGCAGAGAACAGGAAAGGGTAGCCGTGCAAAGAATACCAAGTGTGAGAATGACCAACGGGAGAGATGGACCCTGGGTGCGAAGCAGCACTCGTATTATGGGGGTGATCAACTGATTTCTGATCGCATTAAGGCTCCCTACACAGAGGAAAATACACGAGTGGTACTGGAAATCTTGTCTAGTCCAGAGATGAGCCTGCAACAGTATTCTGCTAAATAGGCAGAAAATCAAACTGCCTTTAATTCCTATCTGTACACATAGATTAGTGCAGTTCTTGGGCAGATATGTTTGTTTGTAGACAGACTTTCTTTAAATAGTCTTTGATTTCTAAAACTTGCACTGTAGAACAGGTTAGCCTTGAACTCAGGGATTAAAGGCGTGTGCCTCCACTCCCAGCTTTGAGGTGTTTCTAGTGTGGAGGACGGTCGTTACTGCAGAAGCTCACAGCCGGTCAAAGTGCAGAGATTAAGTACAAGTGCAATACAAAGGCACAAATGAGCCATCCATGCCACCCTTCCCCAAAGGCCCAGGAACACCCACTGGGAAGGGGAAAGAAAGACAATAAGAGCCAGGGTTTGGGGAGGACTCAGAGAAGCTGTCATCTGCACAAAACCAAACATTCCAGCACCGAGTAGGAAGGCATTCATGAAGCCCTGCCTATCCCACCCTCCCTCACCCACCCATGACCACCCCTGAGGAGCTATGGACATTCAACAGCTCTTCCAGGGGAGAGCGACAGACAGTTTTCTTTAAACCCCCTGACTTCTGGCTAGTCAACTATGCTCCATTGAATGGCCCCACACCCAGGAGTATGTGGATAGCACAAAATGGGGTCAAGGAACTAGAGAGTAGAGAGATGGTTGCTCTCCAAAGAGCTGGCATTTGATTCCCAACATCTACAGGGTACATCACAAACGTTGATTCCTCGAGTTCCAGGGATCCAGTGTCTTCTTCTAGCCTCCACAGGCACACATGTGGTGCACAGACATGCAGCACAGCTCCCACACACATTTAAAAAATCATGGAACAAAACAAATTAGAGTCAAGGGTTTTGTTCTTCTTCTTTTTAAAGAGGACACAAAACCTTGGGGTTGGGGTAAGGAAGTGGGATGGACCCGGGAGGAGTTAGTGGGAGGAGTGAAGGTGGAATATGATCAAAGTACAATCTATCAAATTCTCAAAGAATTTATAAAATATTCTAAAAGAAAACTTATTTTGTATAATTAATACAGACTATGTTTTTCCTAATGAGCACGTGTCAAGCAACTGTGGAGGATGTGAACTTTGGTCACCTTTTCAATTTGTTTAAGTACTCAGAAGAACGAGAAAAACCATACATGAAAATCATAAAGTAAAATGAGTTTTAATACGAATATTGTCATTTAATCAATAGAAGCCTTAGCAAAGGCCAGCAATCCTGTCGTCACTGTCCTTTGCTGTGGTGAAGAGCAATAGGAACTTGGGGAGGATAGGGCTTATTTGACTTACAGGTCAGAGTCCTTCCTGGAGGGAAGCCAAGGAAGGAACTCAAGGCAGGAGCCTGGGCGCAGGAACTAAGTCAGGAACCAGGGAGGGGTGCTGCTTGCTCTCCGGGGCGTACTTCGCCTGCTTTCTTAAAACACGTAGGACCACCTTCCCAGGGGTGGGAGGATGCGCCTCCCCCAGAACTGGGCCTCCCACATAAATAATTCGGTAGGGAAATGCCCAGCAGACTAGTCTCCAGGCCAACCTTATGAAGGCATTTTCTCAACTAAGACTCCCACTGCCTAAATATGTCTCGGTTTGTGTAGAGCTGACAAAAACCAACCACCACTAATCCTTAATTTTCAAAACTGGAATTGGGCATTCACTCCCTTTTCAAATAATGTGGTTTGAACTTATTTGTAATTCATCAGTCTCATGTGGTTCTTTGTGGTTAGCTAGAAAACCCATAACATTTTACAATCTTATTAGGAAAATTTGTTTACAGATAGCATGCTTTAAACATAAAGCCAAAGGAGGCCGGGCAGGAGTGCAGGACTGTCTCCTGGGCAGGACGCGGCTACCACATCAAGACCTCGCAGAAGCCCTGTGGACCTGCACAAGACCAAGCGAGCCAGAACTCCTGCGTGGATGGGAAAGAGCTTTGCCGTGCTGTCTCTTCCTGGGGAGCTAATGGCAGTTGATAGCTGCTGGAGGTGGAAGAATAATTTGTTTCTTTTAGGGGGTGTTTCCCACAGATAAGTGGATACCGACATATGTGTTTCAAAGTCCAAAATGATAAAGCATTAAAAGTCTGTCCGAGCGTTCTGAAGTAAAATCCATCCATGACTGTAAGGACAGTAGGGATTTCCGCTGGCATATTCTCTCTAGTGGGAAGGGCTGGTTCACACAGTTGATACAGGGATTTCCGCTGCCATCTCCTCTCCAGTGGGAAGGGCTGCTTAGAACAGTTGATACAGGAATTAAAAGGTTTGTATTACAAAAGTAATAAGTATAAACCCAAGTGCATGAGAATTCACAAGGCCATTGGTGAAGTGTGCTCTTCACAACTTGAGCTACCATCTGCTTCCTGACCCTGGAATAGCGGTCACTAAAAACCTTAGAATTCTGAAAGAAGCCAGTCCTCAACCATCTTGTAAACTCAAGCTGCCTCACCTTCCAGCTTTTTCCAGGCAGATACTTGTTGGTTTTTAATCATAGCTGTGCAAGTAGAATTCTCCCCAAACAGGAACAACACAGCATGTGCACTGAGCTGGTTGCTGTAAGTGGTAGTCTCCTTTTACAACAGTTCGGTTACAGTAAATAAAGGTGGTTCAGGATGACAGTGAAATTAGCCTGAGGCTGGAAACCCTCCCTAGGCTCAGGGGACACTGGTGGCCAGAGGTTTTTTGGTTTTTTTATTTTTTATTTATCTCAGGATTTTAGCTAGCCAAGACTGGCTTTGAATTCCTGATCCATCTGCCTCCACCTCCCCAAATCTGGGATTATATGCATACCTGGCTTTTTAAATCAATTATTAAAAGCCCCGTTATCAACAGAGACAGTATAGGTGACTAGAAAGGTGATATTCAGTCTGCAAAACATGAATTTGCTATATGAAACTAGGAACTCATGCCTCTTGGTGACTTTTGCCTTTAAATTACAGTATCTTCAGCTGGGCAGTGGTGGAACATTGCTTAATCCCAGCACTCAGGAGACAGAGGCAGCAGGACCTCTGTGAGTTCAAGGCCAGCCTGGTCTATAGCCTGAAAGCTCTTGGATAGGATCCAAAGCTACACAGAAAAACCCTGTTTCTAAAAACCAAAACAAACAAACAAATAAATAAATATTAAAAATTACTCCAAGAGCCAGGCGGTGGTGGCACATGCCTTTAATCCCAGCACTCAGGAGGCAGAGGCAAGCAGATCAAGGCCAGCTTGGTCTATAAGAGCTAGTTCCAGGACAGGCTCTAAAACTACAGTGAAACCCTATCTCGAAAAAAAAAAATAACAAACAAACAAACAAACAAAAAATTACTCTAAGAATATATTGTTTTCATCCTGAATATAAAGTTGTGCCAGGTGAAAAAGCCCAAGATAGGCAGGGCCCGAGACTGGAAATCCCACTTCTGAGGCTCAGGCAGCAGGAACTGACTCTGAGGACAGTCTGAACTACAGTGTGAGAGTCTTTCTCAAAGCAGCAAACAAACAAAAGAAGGGAGGGGGATGAAGGTGGCAAAGCAGTTTAGAAAGAAATGAAGGGTTTCCAAACCAGACGCCACTGGAACCCGCAGAATAAACATTACAGGCTGTAGGAAGGCCCCCTCCCCGCAGAGGCCCCTCCTCCCCCTCCCCGCAGAGCTCTTCAGTTTGTAGAGATGGAACTTTCCTGGGGTGTGAGGAGTGAACTCTGTGACTTGTGGTTATGTTTGCTTTAGTGAAGAAAACAAACAAACAGATTCAGTGACATCCTGATAACAAAATCTACACTAGTCTTAAGTGGGAAAACAACACGGACTGAACAATTATCACAAAATCCACAACATATTCAAGTTTATATTTCGTATGGATAATGTAACGGAAATCTTACTTCTGGTCTCCATATCAACCTTCTGAATTCTGGTGATGTTAAAGGGATGAAGTCCGAGATACACACTTAAAATCCAGTCTCAACACTAAAGGAGACAAAACCTTAGGACTGTCAACACACACCAGCCAAGGGCTAAGATTAAACATGGATTTCAGACTTTTCTCCAAGAAACAAATCTTTTTAGTTGTATGGTTGTTCTCATACCAAAACACCAAAAGTTTCAGTTACAATTACTTATTGTGTGTGTGTGAACATGTCGATATAAAATCTAACATCTTCAGACACAGCATGACT